CGATACCTTTCAAATCCAATTACCGCTAGGATATTGAAAGTATCAAGTTAGTGTTCATTGAGTTAAGACATTTATGTTATGCTACGTTATTCATAGCAAAAATCTGACAAACTTCTAGAGTACGTCAAGGAGAATAAAGCTTTCGATTCAGATACCTTTTGCTTGCTCATCACCGAGTCCTAATAAATTATTTACAACAATTTTAAATTGATGATCATCATTGATGAGTAAACTTTTAAATTATTTACAGATGTGTGGGTATTTGTAAATATTTGCATTGCAAATGCATTCCCAGCTTATCATTTAAACATGCATAGAATTGATTAGAGAATGTTTTATGGTGCAAGAGTCCACTTTTTTTTTTTTTTTTTGCACAATTTGTAATAAATAAATATTCGTACGTATGTACGTATGTACGTATATACAATCGTACGGCACTTTTGATGTGCAAGTGCATATATATATGCGAGAGATTTTTTCTATATATTTGTGTGAATGTATGTAATATATGTAATATATATGTATGAATATATATATGTATGTGTGTTTGTGTATATGTCATTTAATTTCCTTTTAAATTTATTTTAAAATAAATACGAAACAAAAAGTTGTTGCCGTTGGTCTTGTTGTTGTTGTTGTTGTAACATACAATGTTCTTCGTCTTTATTGTATTGTACGGCGTGCACATAATATCATTTAAAACTATCGTCTATTGCCTGTTTAGTGGAATTGTTTTTGATTTTTGTTAAAATGCTTTTGTTGTTGTCCATTTGCGTTGTTGTTGTTGTTGTTGTGTTTTAATGTTATCAAAACGTTGTCAACGTTTTCCTTTGCATTGAGAGAGAGTGTCACTCTGTCACTTATATTCATTCATTCACATTTTATACGTTTGTCATTAGTTACCGACTTTGCTCAACGATAACGTAAAGATAAAGGGGGAGGCAAAAAAAAAAAACAACAACTAAGACGAAAACGAAGAAGCACAAAATAAAAAAAAAATAAAAAACAACAAGAGAATATTGTATAGAGGTCCGTTTAGTATAAGTAGCGTACGCGAGAGTATATATATATATATATATGTGTGTGTGTGTGTGTGTGTGTTCGTTTGACTGGCCTTACACATAAGCTTCACGCTTTTTTTCGTGGAACTCTACGTATAGGTTTTTTTCTAAATGCCTGCCTTGAATAGTTAATTTCTTGGAGTCAACCAACCAAGTAACCGACCAACAAACCAACCAATAAACAAACATACACATTGTTACGCCGACAAGCCAGCAAACAAGTAAGCAGGCAAGCAAGCAAGCAAGCAAGCAGGCAAACGGCAGTTAGCCAGTCAGTTAGTTAAGTTTTTCTGTTTAGGTGATGATAGTCGTTGCCTATCATCATCAGCAGCTCTGTCACTAAATGACTTGACTGTTGTTGTTTGCAATGGCATAATATGCATAAAGGTGCTCGCTTGTCTGCTGCTATGCGTACATATGTATATATACGCACACACGCACACGCACACGCACACACACACACACACATACGCACACGCACACATACTTATTTAACCAAAACTCTCTATTAATGTGCCCCATAGAATGGTGCACATTATTAAAAAATTATAAATTCTTTTAAAATTTTATCAAATTTTATTTACTTTTTTTTTTTTTTTTTTTTTTTTTTTTTTTTTTTTTGATTTTGTTTTTTCTTCTTTTGTTTCTTTTCCTTCGAAGCTTAACTGATAAATATGTAAATAATTATGAAAGGAACGCAAGAGACATGAGTCATTAAAACATTGTCTTTATTGCTTTATAATAATTTTAAAGAATTAAATAAAAGTTGTAGACATAATTCTAAAAACGCATAAATCGTTTCGAATTAGACAATTAAGAGTGTAATGTGCTGGATAGCTAGGCGTTATGCGAGAATCGAGTATGGTCGATTATTTTATTCCTCTTACGGCGATAATTGCTTTATTGCTTAAAAATTATCTTGCATTCATACGTAATGGAGGACAAGTCATTGTAATTCGACTTATTCCTCCTCACTGTGCACTAACGCTTAAATGTTTCTTTTTTTTTTTTTTTTTTTTTGGCATAAATTTTTTTTTTATAGTATATCCGCCATCTGAGCGCATAAATATCTGATGAACGTGTTGTGAGTTTTACTTAAGAAATGTAAATTTTACATTTTTTATTCGAAATTTTTTTATATCCGCCCTGTGGATAAATATATGACGAATGTATCGCGGCTTTTACTCAAGAGATGCCAATCTTTAACTTTTTACCTCAAATCTTTTTCTACCCACCACCAGAATGAGTATCAGATTGCGGCTTTTGCTTAAGCGATACGATTGCGATTAATCGCAAAACTTAGAGGGCAACAACAAAGCCGGCTGCCACTTAACAAATGACATTTAATGACAGGCAGGCTATTGACTTTGTTACGGAGCATCAATCGTAGCAAAAGGATAAACAAGATTTAGTTGTTTTCTCTCTAGAAATTTCTACCCAAATTTCTACATAAATTGTAGTAAAAGACCAAAGCATGACATCATCTATTGCGAAGCCGAATGAAGCCTTTTGAAGGATAAAACAACTGCTACATTACTGCCATTATACCTAACTAAGGAAAATTTGCTCATACTGAAGACTGAAGGCGGTTTGTAATCATATCGAGTGTGAACCATAACTTTGGTAAGCAGTAGTAAATTTCTTATACATATTATCAGATATAGATTGCGACTGATTTTATGAAATCTCGTACATTCTTTATGGAACTACAAGCTAATACCCATGAGTAACCGAGTAGATATGGACTGCGGCGACCAAGTCAACGCTCACAGAATCGAATTTCAATGTGGTAAAGTATACTTGGTAGCATAGTGAGTGCTCAGTCGGAAAATCATAGCAATTACCCGTTGGGAATACATCCACTGGAATCACTTCTTCCGTGTCTTCTTCTCTTTCTTTAGTTCTTTTTGATCGTCACTGTGTTACGGGCATAGGGTAAGTAACCCAAGTGGTCTGTCATATTAAAAAAAAAAAAAAGCTCCCAAAAATTAGGCTTTGCGCATATAAGCTTAAAAGTACTCAGAAAGGCCATGTAGTAGCGTGTTATACTCGGAATTTCTTTAGCGATTCAAAGGAAACAACCAGCTTTTTTGAATCCCAGCGCTGACCAGCTTAGATAGTGCTACTTGGGTCATCATCACTATTTGAATTGGGAGCGAAGAAGAAAGTAAAGAATATAATACCAAAGTAAGAGAGCGGTTCACAATTTAAGCGATGAATAGAATTCCCTCTTATAGTTTTGGTTAGACACATGGATTTAGGTGAATGCAAAGGAAAAAAAAATGATAAAGAATCGATGCAACAGCAATCCCTCTTTGTAAGGATATTATTAGGGACTTTTAACTCAACTAGCGTTATCGTTATAGTTAGGTCATAAAAAGAATCTGATAAGCATCTCAATCAACTTTTCAAGATGTTTAAAAGTGTGATCTTCACAAAGCTGTGTTAGACTTACTTGACCATTAGAAAATCCAAAAAAACTAAATTCATATATGTCTAAGGGTGGTGAGGTAGAAGGGCGGCAGATTTTACTCAAAGCAGTTAATATTTCGTGACAACAGCTTAAGTAATGAGAAAAAGCCTAAGAACTCAATCGATCTTCTTTGCCATAGGAGAATACGAGCCTTAAAACGCATGCTTGACCGTAGAGAAGAAGAAAAAACGAAGAGAAACTTTAAGCGAGTCTTACTAGAGCAAAGAAAAAGAGGCTAACAGTTCGTTCGATCATGTTTAGGCCATTTATGGTTTCTTGCGTGTAGGAAGAAAAATGTTCTAAATCTCAAGCACTTGAGCAGCCGTGGAAGGGAAAGCGATAACTCAATAGCTTCGGCGTAGGCCATTAAAAAATGTAAAGTCTACTTAAAGGAGTGAGGAAAGGATTTTAACCTAGAGTGAATTACACTAAAAATTGATCTCGGAACTATAACTTATTTATGTCTACGAAAGTAGAGAGGTTTCACACGGTCCAAAAACGCGTTGCATAACAATTATGTTACTTTACTTTTTTGAAGAGCGATAAGTAACAGAGGAATCCAATAACCAATTCTTCTTGGTTCTTCGAAACCTTGAAATATGGTTTACTAACATAGTGATCATGTGTACGTAGTGCAATTTTTCGCATCGAAGAAAAGTGTGTAAGGAAGTTTTTAAGCTCTTCTTTGCCCAATAGGAGAAAGTACTTTTTCTTTGTTTTTTCTTTTTTTTTTTCAATTTTTTAAAATGTAACTAACATCGTGTGATGCTTAAGTAATGAATGATTTTTAGATATTTTAAATTAATTAATATAAAAACAGAAACATCTTTCAAAATGAATAACAGAAAATTGCTCGCTTTCGCAGAAAAGGCTAAGAATTATTATTTTTAATTTTTTTAAACTTTAAGAAATATCTCTAATGTCTATTACAAGGCGGCGGCGGCGGTGGCGACGGCGGCAACAACAACAACGACGATGACGACTCTACCCCCATTACTGTTAAAAAGCGCTTTTATTGAAATCTTTGCATTTTAATTTGAATTTTTTTGTTCTTAGTAATATTTCTCTGCTGAAGAGTACGGGCGTGTTAAAAGAACATTCCTCAATTGAACTCAAGCAAAGTCTAAAGTGTCTCATTTATTTATCTCGTCCGTCCATCTATATCTATCAAGATTCCATGCCAACCATGAAAGTCAGTCATTCACTTGCAGGCTAAGTAATATTACATACAAATTTACATGTACATATACATATATTTGTGTGTTATTCGTGCTACATATGAAGTTGTTTCATACATGTGTAGGCTTATGAGAGAAAGAAAAAAGAATAACAAAAAGAAAAAAAAATAAAAAAAAAAAAATAAGGAAAATCAGAAAAGCAAAAAACAAAAACAAAAAAAAAAAAAAACAAAAAAAACAATCAAAAAAGAGAAAGAACGCAAGAGATGCTTTGCTCTTGTTTGCTACCCCCTCCTCCTATGCCAGCTTGGCCCGTTGTCTGCCCCAGTCAGAGAGTTAGTCCGCCAGCTTTGCGTGCCGCTTACATATACACACGACAACTTTGATAAAAATTATTGTACAAAATATCTAAAAGCAAGAAGAAGAAAAAAAGAAAAAATTGAAACGAGCATGTGTTCAAGTGTATTGTACACCGCCTTTGTAAGCCGTGGTGCTCTTGTGCTTTGCGCTATAGGAACAACAAGCTAAGCACACATTCAAATAAATATTTATATATATATATACATATATTTTCGCATTGATATCTATACATATCTATACATATGATGCTTATAATCCATGCATATGTGGGGTTGTGCGTATAAGTGCGTGTTTGTGATACATGCATAATAAAATAGATAAAGAGATGGATGTATAGATAGATAGATGGATAGATATTCAATGAATGTGATTCAATATAATTCAATTTTCACTAACAGCATAACCGACGTAATGTTGTTGCTATCGCTGTTGCCTGCTGCAACAACTGTTTTTCCTACCACCAGTTGTTACATTAATACCACCACTACTACTACTACTACTACTACTGCTACTACTATTGCTGCTACTAGTGTCACTACTATACACTATCGTTGATGGCCCCTTGTTCTACAGGCAATTAGTTACATTTATAGATACGGATATAGACAAAGACGAATCGTCAAAGTAGAAAAATGATTTTACTCTTAAATCCCTTTATTAAAACAAATAACACTAAACTAATGCAAATATGGATAATATGAAAATATCATCTCATTAGTTTAGCTGAGTTGATGACTAAACACACATTCGTCGATGCAGCATAGACAAGAGGTGTATAAACAAGCACACAGACAAACAAAATACAAGACTTATTTATTCACTTACGTACCATTTTTAAATGTAATTAATTTTGTTCTATAGAAATTTTATATATAGGGCAATAAGTAAGAAGAAAGCTATAAGCGCCTTGGAGACGAATTTTGAATGCCCATCGTTTCGCGAAATTACAAAGAATTTTATTACATACAATGACGATGGCTCTTTCAGTGGCAGTGAATTCTTAAACCTCTGCTTGATTTTCAAAATCATCAAACGTTTTAGTTTATAGGAATTTTTACCAAGAACATACTCAACTTTCACAAGTTTTCACTTCGTATCTTTGAGATTGCTAACAATAGAGAGTCTAAAGAGGATAAAGAGACATAGTATTGAAAGATTGTAGATTGCCAGACCGATGAAAATAAAGACGAATAAGCATACATGAGGCATACATGGGGAACGATAGACGGACAGATGGGAAACCGTACAGTTTGACCGAGGTAGGAGGGATGGACGGAAGAAGGCACAAACGGATGAATAGCCAAACACTTGCAGCCGACAAAAGATCAGAAGGATGAATGAAGAATGACGCCGCTGCATAATGGCAGCAGATGGATAGTAGCCGTGATAAGTGATATGGGGAAGGAATGGTAAAAAAGTGAAACAGTGGACGGCAAATGGACTGACATGCAATCATCGGACAAAAGATAAGTAAAGAATTGAACCCATGACTTGATAGGATGTAGAAAGACAAATGATCAGATGAACTCGTTTAAAGCGGAAGAGGACGGTAAACTGCTTTGCAAGAGATAAGTAGCAAAACGAAAGAACGAATAAACAAATATACGGACAGTTTTCTCGACTTAGGGATGGATAGATATATTAACACATGGACGGGAATTTGGAGGCACGAACAGAGGGATGGTCGAACAGGCGCACGAGTAGGCAAAATGGCTAGGAGGAGAGGCAGAATAAAAGGACGAACAGGGTGACACACGAAAAGGGAGACGCGTAAACAGAGGCAGGCACGAATATAGGGACAAACGGTTATAGGGATATAGAAGACGCACAAGCAGAGGGACTCTTAAATATAGGGGTTGGCGCACTCTTCCATCAATAATCGAACAAACAGGGAAAAGGCTTTCTTTGCGGTTGAACGGACAAGAAGCCTGGAAAGTGGATGGTCGTAGACGGAAAGACGATTGCATAGTTGAATCGACTTGCAAATGAACAAAACAACACCAAACGATCAGATGAAGAATCCAACAGATATGTATTGGGCAGTTACACAGATAGCCGAAACATATGGATACACGGACAAATAGAAGGATGTTGAGAGAGAGTGAAGACGAGTGAACAAATAGAGAGATAAGCAAACACGCAAATACGCAAACACGGCCAGTTTGACTTACATATGTAACTAATTACAACTGCACGCAATACTTGCTCATATGTTCATTGATGCGCGTCTCTAATTGTAACCAACAAAATAACAAAGTTAGCATATCCTCATCCTCCGGTTGTGGGAATAAAAATTCGTTTGTATGTAGGTCGCATTTTATTACTCAAAAAAAAAAAAAAAAAAAAAAAAAAAAACAGAAACATTACCATAAACACATTTCTCGGTCTATAATATGTTTCTATGTGCATGGCTTGGATGGGAGCTAGCGACTGCGTTTCCGTCGATATGTTGCGAGCATGTATCTCATTGAATATCTAATTAAATTATCAATTAAAGCAACGACTACAAGTTGTTCTTTTCCTTTTAAATTTTAACAACGTCATAATTAAAGAATTTTTGAAAAGTTTTAATTATACACACAACGCTTGTAATTTATTTCCCTTTCCCTTTCGTTTTTTTTTTGTCGGGGAAAAGAAGGGGACAATCAACCGAGACCACATGTACTGAAAAATACATAACATCGTATGTCAGTAGTAAACGACAGTTGTCATATGTCAACTTTGAATATAATCCCTCCGTCCCAAGCCACCTCTCTCTCTATCTCTCTCTCTCTTTCTCTCTCTCTCACTGTCAGCCTTTACCTCTATCTCCTCCCCTGGACATCTTACCCTAACAAAAGGTTAGAGTACATAAATCTCATAAATTATAAGCGCACGCACATTTCTACTGATAAAGCTAAGAAGAGGCGTAAAATTTATGATTATTTGTTGTCATTTGATACAAAACATCCTTTGGCATGGTATTCAAAGTGTGAATTGATTATTTCCTATGCATTGCAAGAGAGTATAAAAATGAAAGCAACAATAATAACAACAAAAAAAAAAAAAACATTTTTTTTTAAACAAAAGAATTTCTTATGGGAAAGAGATTACATTTTATCAGCAAAGATCTCCTGCAGTGTTTTTTAAGGTATCCTTTCTTTTCTTCTTGTTCTTTTTTTTTTTTTTTTTTTTTTTTTTGCAGTTTAAAGAGATGAAATTCTATAGTTTTCTTTACCAGTAATCTTTAATATTTAAGTAGTTTTTACTTTTGTTACATCTAGAATGTCCTCCCGTTTTTTTTCTTTTATTTCATTTTTTTTTTTTTCTTTTTCCTGTTTGTTCCTTTTTCTCATATTTATCATTGATTGGATTTTTGATAAATTGTTACCAGAAAACAGAAAAGTTCCATAAAGTATAGACATAAGATTAAAATCTAACTGAATTTTAATCCTATACAAGTGCAGATATGCATACGTGCCTGTGTGTGTGTGTGTATGTGTGTGTGTGTGTATGTATATATATATATATATATGTTTATATGTGTTTACTGACATACCTTGCTATTGCATAAATTGTTATATTTTCTGAAAAGTCTCTTATTGCCGCTGCTGCTGATGCTGATGCTGATACTGCTACTGCAACTACCTTAACTTAACTATTATTACGTGCAAGTATCTCCAGGTAGATGTTCTCTTTCATTCTCTCTTCTTGATTCTGCTTCTTCTTCTTTTACTATTTCTTGTTCTTCTCTTTTTTGTTACTACTACATTATAGATTATATCTTTATAGAAAGATTACTGCGTAGACTGATGTGAAAAAGTTACCACTTTGTACCGGTAATGGTGTTGTAATCAAACTAGAATAAGTCAAGTTATGGCGAAAGTTTTGTGTGTAAAAGTTGAGCATTATAGCTACTAGCTGTGACTTAGCTGTCAATTAACACTAAACTTAAACTAAACGATCAACTGTGCTGGGCTTTATCGGAAAAACTTAAGCGCGTAAACTATATCAATAGATTTAAAATAAAAAACCAACAACAACTTAATATGTAAACGTACTTGTAAGCTATGATTAAGTTAATGGCAAGCATTCATTCTCTTGTGTTAATTGAATAATATTTGGTTTGCTCATAACTGGGAGCAAGTTTAAGGTGAATGTTTAGACAAAATTTGAAGGCCTTGAAGTAAACTCATTGCCGAAGATTGTACGTAAAAAATTTTTAAATTTACTTAAGACTACTAAGACTTTGATTTAGATTATACATGTAGGCCTACTGCATACCTGAGTAGTTAGGAAATGCAATAATTAGATCCATATGCCTGGGTCCTCAACATTCAGAGCGATAGGCCATCATTTATGTGCGATTGGTCAGTGCTTCATCGATGACGACATAACATTTTTCTGTCGGGCGAATACTTCCCAGGCTGCGGCTAGTACTTAACAAGAGCTAAAATATTTGAAATTTTTGTATCTTCGACGACTTGGTGTACACGGTACATTAAGTTGCTGCGTACACACGCCACGAGAACGGTACGGTAAGTGCGCCTTCTTTTCATGTCCTTGGTTAAGCTTAGTCAATGTAAATATAATTATGAGCTGTTTAACCCGCTCAGAGTTGTTTGCAAGAACCTAAATGATATCTATCACTTATTCTCATTATCGGACTCTTTAAAGTCCATTAAAGCAACATTGCTTAATGCGCGTAATTTACGTATGTCGTATGCTAGTTGCGTACATGCCTTTTTTTTTCTTTTTTTTTTTTCCTTCCTATTTGTCTTATTGTACTTACACTAAGTTTTAGTACTAGTTAATTTAAGATATACTTTAAAACTCAATTGAACACGACTGTCAAAATTTTTAGTTGAGTTTCTTGTATAAGTGGAATAAATAAATAAATAAATAAATAAAATAGAAAATGTCATTCAGATCAAAATAATTTTTTAGATCATTTTTTTCAATAAACATTTCTATCTGCCTGCCTGCCTATCCGTCTGTCTGTCTAATAACAGCCTACGTTTTTTTCCTTAAATGTATCCGCCTCTCCGTCTGTCTAATGAATGTTTCTCCATATATTTTTGTGTTCAGTTAATAGATCGCTAGGTTTAGGATATTGCGATGAAATTTGGTACACTGAGATATTTTGACGTAAGCGCAAGCGCTACTGGAAATGGTTTCAGAGTACAGAGACTTTTTGCAACCACACTTACTATATATAAAGCCTTATTTTCAAAAAGTTGTTCTATTTGCGAGGAATGGTTTTCTATTGGTGTGCCAAATAAATTTGGAAACCTGAATAGAATGGTAACATTTTTGAACCCGCTGCCATGTAAACTTTCTTATAAAAGGGGAAACCTGTATGTGGCAGTAGGAAGTAATTCTTAACTTGTGATGAAAATTTTCACAAGACGGTCAAACAATTCTTGGATGTTCTTCCCATGTATCTGCCAGCTATTAGGAAAGGAAAGACGGTATGGACAAATTGTGCAACAATACAATTTTCCATATTGTATGGCAAAGATAAGTGCAACCTCATATTAGACAAAGTACTGCATGGTATTTAATAGTCAGTCCGGTTCTTCTAAAATGTTTTATTTCCTTTGAACATAGATACATATATATATGTATATATATATATATATAACTTTTTATATGCACCAACAAGCAAAAATGCGGGTAAAATCATTTTGTCAAAACATTGGCAATAAGCAAACGAAACCTTCTTGTTAAGGTAAATGTATGGGACATAGAAGATTCGACCACAACCGAGAATAACTTTTCTACTTGTATTTTTCTGGTTTCAATTGATTCACTTTGAAGTGAATTTAAATGAATCGCAAGTTCAAAAAGATAAACGAAAATTACTAAATATTCCATTGTTTTATCGGATGTTTATCCTAAACTTGAAAAGTTTATATATTCAAAAATTAAAAGATATTATCCGTACCAAGCTAGTGTGAAAACAAGTAAAAGCACTACAGTGAGTCACGGCCCGCTATCAATTATCCTAAACCGCCCTACACTTATTCATACTCAACTACTTTTGAAACGAAGGTGTTATGTGAGAAGTGATCGAAAGATTGGCCTAATCCGTTCCATTTTCAATAGCGTCCGCCCTTGAGCCAAAACACTCGACAGTTTTCGTCGCTTGTGGAACGCAAGAAAACAAGACGAAGATACGAACAGGCGAACAGACATACTTAAATCAAACTAGAAATTGATTCTTTTGCTTCGAATTAAGTGCAGAAGCGCGTAACACCTCAAATACCCTTCGAGAGTTCTTCTGACTGATCTCACAAACAGTTCTTCATTTTCGTACAATGGAAAGCATTTCAAGCAATTTCTCAGAATTAACCATATGTCGAGATGTCCAGGATGATAATGATGATAAACATGGTCCAAGGACAGGGTAAAACTTTTTCAGCAAATCTTAATTAACTGAAGCTTCCATATTAAAAGGAGTAGAAACGTTATAATCGCTTTGTACGGCACTTTACATTTCCATCACTTCAAGTCACGTAAATACAAAAAAACGTGCAAGTTGTTTCTAGTAGTATGCGGAAACAGGTGAGTAAGATTTGTAACTTGTGTACTTAATTGTGCAAAATTCCGCATCCATAAAAAAAAGTTTTCAAGATCGTGAATTATCGAACATTAGGCAGAAATTTATTTCACTAAACAAGTAAAAACACTACTGTTGGCCACGACTTACCATTAAGCACCATACACACAGGCCATCGAAAAATTGGTTCAATCCAAACCATTTTTAACAAGGCTTGAACTACAGTTCAAGAACACAAGAAAACAATATGGAAGGACTAACGGACAGACAAACTTAGAATCGATTGGTATAATAAAAGACCGATTTAACTGAAATCCTTCGAGGCATAGCAGACATGAGCACAAGTTTAGCACACTCTTGTGCCTCATGTAGTGTTGGACTACATGTTATGCCTACACAGGGTCTATCGTTAAGAGCGATACTTTTTACAATTGCAACTTTTTTTTAAATTTATCCGGTTGAGTGACCGAGTAGGAAAATGATCTCGATTAACAACACAATGGTTGAAGGTTCAAATCCAAAGTGCAGCGGAGTTTCCGCTAGCTAAAGCCGATAGCCTTAGACGCTAATGCTTTAACACTCCAGCCCTAGAATGCGTTTCTCTGGCTAAATTAATAATAAAAACTAATAAAAAATAACTTGGAAAGTGTGAAAGAAAAGACTCGGTGAACGGTTCTCGGCCGAAGAGGAGGATTTTTAAGGGCCTTACACCCACAAATTATCATACAGCTAACCATGGTCAATACTTCGAATAATATATTTGTCATTATTTATCTGCAGGTTACGTATTTACATGCCACATATGTAATAGTTTTCCCGACCTGTACTTTATTTTGCTAGTTTTTCATAAATGGAATCAACGACGTTTTAGTAGGGAAAGCAAAGTTTCATACGCGTTTCTCGTGTTTTTTCCACACAGATGTCAACTTATTCAAGGCTTCTAAAACATATGCTTTAGCAACATGGTTTATACTATCACGCAAAGTGAGAAGTGCTGCCAAACAACTTTCACTCGAAGAAGAGACGCAGCTCGATATAGCCACACAAGCAAAATAGCAACGAGATTTTTCAAAAGCCAGTAAAAGGTCTTTTGCTTAGAATAACGCAACTCCTAACTTGCCTCCAGCGGTATGGTTAAATCTGTTAACCCCTTAACCAACATATGAACGGTTTGCAAACTATAGACTGTTTTTATGTCCACAAGGTCATTATGTTTGTGCGCTGAAAGTGAGCAAATTATCATAGTTTGCTTAGAGGCCATCACTATCAATCATCGGACGTTTTCTTAGATAGGGTTTTGGTTTTTCAAACTTTTCAAAGTTTTCCCATAATTGAATTTAAGTAACGTACCTACGACAACTCGAGCTTAAGGTTATGAAAAAACTTTTTTTTACTGATGATAAACTTATCTTTTGCATGAACTTTTGTATTTAATAAAATAATTTAATGAACCTTTAAATTGACATCTTTTTATTCGTTGAGAACGACGAGCAATGAATGATATCTGCTGCCGTTTTCAATTTCAATATTGCAACCACTTCAGTCAGTTGTCAGTCGTATGTCAAATTATACATTTACTTAATATGTACGTTCGATTAAAATGCATTTTAAATGAAAAAAAAAAAAAATAAAAAATAAAAAAAAAATTTGTTTCCTTAAATTAATGAAAAATTTCTTTTCTCTTCTAACCCCATTTCTAAGTTGAAGTACGAAACAGAAATGAGTAGCAGCTGATGTCCTTATGCGAGTTAAAAAAAAAAAAAAAAAAAAAAAAAAAATTAAAATATAAAAAAGTGGAAATCCTTTGAGTTTAAGTACTTTATTGTTATATAGAAGAGAGGAAAAAATACAAAAAAAAAAATGAAGGAAATTACACCGTTATATATAAATGCGTACGACTGTATATGTGTGACGGTTTCAATAGGCAAAAGCCTATTGACATAATTCATAATTAGACGTTGCGTTAAAAGAAGAAAAAGAAGAAGTGAAAAAATGAAAAATTGTGTTGAGACTCTCGCCACTAATGTCGCTGCTTTGCTGCGACTGCTGGTGCTGGTGCTGATGCTTGTGCTCGTAGCTGGTGTTACTCTACTGCTCTATATGCTCTTGACTTTTTTCCTTCATTCACTACTGAACTTGATGAAAACACTGAAAACATATTTCAAGTGCTATCCGCACAAAAACACACACCAGGACACAAATACGCATACATACATAAAAGGCACTAAAAGTGAAAACTTAAGGATCAATTAATAATAATAAATAGCAAAAATGAGGAAAGATATAAAACTATGCTT